GCATTTGCTTCTAGTTTTTTGTTTAAGGATGTTTCAGGCTTGCTTCTAGTCTTGGGTTTAGGGTTTAGGGGCTTGATCATGCCACGTCGAGGATTCCCGATGTGCTTGTTCCAGGCAGTTGCAAGAAGCGCAGAGGGCTGAGGGTTTTCGGTTTCGGGTTCCAGCACCACATACTCAAAGCCCTAACCCTAGCCTTGGCCCCAAAGCCCAAATTCACCACCTTAAATTCTAAACCCTGGACCCTTAAACCCTTAATCCTGAACCGAAGGTCCTCAGGAGCGAACGCCGGTTATTATTATTTCTACCAAGGCGCGAGTCGTAGCCGTAGCTGAAGCAGAGGTTTTCCGTACCTGGCTTTCGGCGTTGGGCCTCGTATTTCGGTTCGGGGCTGGGAGCCTTGAGGGTGGATCTCGGATCTGAAACCCAGGCTGCGGGTTTAGGGTTTCGGGGGCTTTGTTGCTGTTTCGAATTTGCTTGCTTTTTGAGGGGGGTGGCTTTCTCCTCAATTCGGGGTTTCGGGTTAGATCCACCTTAAACACACTCTCAGGCGTACGCATATTATAAGAGCAACGGCTTGGCACAAGACCAGGGGGTTGAGCATTGCGAAAGGGAAAATCTGGGGGTCGTCGTGCCAACGGCGAAGGCTCCTATACTGCTCGGCGTTGGGGTTTAGGGTTTACGGTTTGGTGTTGGGGCTCCGCCCAAACCCTCAAATTAAACCCCCAAACGCGGACCACGAATGAAGAATCTGCAGAATCCTTGATCGAATCCTTGGTATAGGCAACCAAGATGCTGTTGCAGAAGAGGGGGCAGGAGCCCCACTCGGGATCCCAGCAGTAGCCAGAAAACTCGTCCTGTTAGGGTTTAGGGTTGAGGGCTGCCATGCCGTCGGGTCAAAACCCTCTACTGTACGGCTTTTCAGGGTTTAGGGCTGGAGGTGTCGTTTTTTTCTGTCGCAGGGCTTGCTTCAGGCCACTGAAAGGTTTAGGGATGAGGAGCTGGTGCCAAGGGCCTAAGGGCTTACCTAAGGGGCCATATTTTGTTGTAGGATTCAGGAACCCTAAACCCTACAAGGTAGAGGGTTTAGAGGAGTTCAGGCTTCTAGGATGAACGAGGTTCGGAGTGTCCGGTTCGGGGGTTTGGATCGTCAAGGGTTCAGAGTTGCGGGTTTAGGGTTTCGGGTTGAGGTGTTTAGGGTTTAGGGGCTAGGGTGGGGTGCGAAGTCACTGATTACGATAGGTACAGCTGAGGCTGCTCGTGAAGTAACTGGCCTTGATCTCATTCAGGTGTTTCAGCAAACTAGCCGTGCCACATAAGCCTACCGATACAGGGATCCTATTCTTAAGGGCCAGGTTTTGGCCTGAAATCATCATTCACGTCGATTTCAAATTTTTCACCGGACTTTCTTCAGTATCTTGGATTCCACCAGCTCCTGCGGTCAATCGTGTGTCCCTACATCCGAAACCCTATGCTAGGCCAGGGCTTCGGCGAGTGAAGCCCCGACAGTAGTCCTCGGACCCTAAAACCTTGAGTGACATGCGCAAGCACAGAACTACTTAGATAACCCATGTGGTCTAGGCCTCCAGTCTGTGACGGCACAGACTCATTCTCCAGGCCCCTGTAACAAGTTCTGTTGTAACAGTGATAACAGGCCATGTGAACCCTAAACCCTTCGTGAAAGTAGCGTATAATCACGGTTACGGTAACCCTTACACTAACCCGCTTGGTACTTCTTGCAGCAACCTGATGGTAACCGTATGGAGGCCCTCCAGTACCCGAAACATCTCCCGGACCCTGACCTTCAAACCTAACCATGACAACTTAAACCCTTAACTCCCAAACCCTAATCATTAAACCCTAATCCCTAGCCCCTGGGACCGTTCCCACCCATAACTGGGTGCTCAGACACTGAATATGCCCGGCAGCTGTCACACACCCGCAATGCGGGGTTTATGGAGAATGGTCGAATACAACCCTATCTGGGCTGTCAAGGGCTCCGCCTCACCCACAGTGAAACACAAAACAGGGGGGGTTCTCAGGGAGCCGGTGCCTGGTGGGCCGGTCCTAAGGCCCTGCCCTGCCCTGCCCTGCCCTGCCCTCCCTTTGCGCTGCTGCGGTCGGAAACTCCTCCATGTATTTCACGGTGTGGGAATTGAGGGCGTAAGCCCTAAAACCCTAAGAGGAAATGGTTTGGGTGGCTGCTTGTGGTGTCATCACAGCGGCCGCATGAAAAGAACTTCCGGTTTCACCGAGTTCTACTACCAAACACACAAGATTTCGCTACATACGCCGCCACCCTTAAACCCTGGTGTGAGGTGGCGCCAGCTTAGCATGGACCATCGGCCACTGTGCAAGAAGACGCCCTAAACCTTAAACCCTAAACTTCCCTAAACCTAATCCCCAAAACCTATAATCCCTAAACCCTAAACCCCTAGGCCCTCACAGCCTTGCACTTGACCTCGAAGTCTGCACATGTCACATCGAAGGGGTCGAAGCCTCGGACTTCTAGGGACCATTGTTAGTACTACTACGAATAATAGTAATCATCACCATCACAATAAATCATCATCAACATCATAATAAAAATCATGTCGGGTGTTGGTGTGTATGTTTTGGGGAACTGTAACAAGGAGCCTTCAGGAATACTACGTAGTGGCATTTATGGACGAAGTACACATGCACAAAGGCAGATCAGGCTTCGATAGTAGGGTTTCAAGTTGAGTTGTGGAGCTTGGGGCTCCGGCTTCGTCAGGGCCTCGTCAGGCAGAGCATGGGAGCAGCGAGTCCGAAACCCTCAACACTTGAACGCTTTTTGGCCGACCCAGCCCCCCAAAACCCTCGAGCCCCACATCACACAAAGAGAACCTCAAGCCTACAACCCCGAAGCTGCAAACCCCAACCTAAACCCTGAAACCCTAAACCCTAATCCCTGAAACATGCACCTCTGGAACACAGCGAAGCCTCTGGAACACAGCGAAGCTGAAAGGCCAGAGACAACACAGTAGGCCAAATTTAAACTACACGGGGGGGCAGCCTTCATAATTTAAACAAGACTTTTCCTTCCTAGCTGCACGGCAACTTCCCTCGAGGCTAAGGCAGCCGATGCTTTGCTGTTCGCAGTACTGGTAGCCGAAGCCTGAGAGACACACCAGGCCTTTTGCTTGGGTTTAGGGTACCCTTACGCTAGATTGAGGCCGACGGATTTGAAGTTGGTTGAAGCTTCGAGAAGCCATTCTTTTTGCTTAACTTGATTGGGTCAAGGGCTGGAGTAGTATCGGGGCCTTAAGGATGAGAACAAGGTTTTTGGGATAGATTATACTGTATCTACAATAAGGAACCCTCAATTGCACAATAGTATAGGTATTAAAACTTGTTCAAGTTCTTTGCGCAACGACACACTGCGGATTCAGGGGGACTGTATGTCCAAACACCGAAGCCCAAGCCACTTCCCGAACTCCAAAACAGGAGACAGAAACCAACCGTAAACCAACTTTAAACCTTAAACCTTACCCTGCTCTCACGACAGCGAATTCGTCAATCCAGGACCATGAGACCCAGCCCTGCACCCTAAGAAAGAGGTCTGAAAGAGTAAGTAACAACATCCTCTGCAGTTCTTGTGTGGGTGTAGCCTAGCCATAACATGAGATACCCAAAACCCTGATGGCCCTGGTAAAATTAATCATAAAAATCGTTCTAAACCTTCTGAGGATTCCGCTGTCACACTGCACCTCATACTGCTCGTTGCAAGGACAGCCTGACACAGACTGATCTGGGGGCGGGCTCCCAAAACCTCAAGGGTTCATGCTAGCCTTATGGAGGGTCCTCCGTATCAGGATCTTGCAAATATTCCAGGCGGAAGCACCTAGGGCGGTCTTCTTGTCCACTTGGCTTGAGGCTTGAACGGTTCAGGGTTTAGGGCGGAATTCTAGTACTGCTTGTTTTGCTGGCCATAAGCCCGAAACTCCAACACCCTATCTTCAAAGCTCCTGTCCCGAACACGATGTCCGAGGCTTCCACATTCTTTCGCTTCGCTTGGGAAGCTTTCGTGCTTTAATCCGCCACGGCCTAGGGTTTAGGGTTCAGGGTTTAAGATTTAGGGCTTGAAGCCTAATCTCTCTCCTTCAATAGCCGGGTCCCCCAAAAGGGTTCAAGTCTTCGAAGATCAACCTAACATATAACGCCACAAGAGATTCAAGGTCTCGCAATGGCTAGGCAAAGCCAAGGATGACAAGTTGCCAAGCTCCCTTATATCAAGCCTAAAACCCTAAATCAGAGCCGGTGATCCTAGGAAGCAACTCAACCTCAAGCTGGCTTTCGTTTAGTGAAGCCCCGAAATCGGGGCCTCACTAATCAGAGCAGCTGTCTTTTTTCTTAGGGGGAGGGGGCGTGGATAGTAATGCTCTATATTCAGAAATACTAAGGAATAATCTGCAACAGTAATAATCGTAGTAATACCAATAACAATAAGAATGGTTCTTATTATTACAATTACTGTTATTGTTATTGGTGTTGTCATTATTCTTAATATTAAGATTACCCTTTACTACATTCCATCCATCGGGGCTTCAAAGCCGCAAGCGGCGAGCGGATGGCAGGTGATCGCAAATCCGCTCCCAGAGGATCCTTTATGGACTTCTTGCGGGCTTAGGGCTTATGTAGGATTTAAGGGTTAAGGGTTTAGGGCTTTGGGGGTTTTAGGGGTTTAGATGTTTAGGGTTTAAGAGCTTAGGGTTTAGAGCCTGGCTGACCCATCGCTGTGTCCGAAGCAAATTGCAGCATGTCAAGGCAGGAAAGGTATGTGGACCCGACATTAGAGCATCTGTTCTTCAAGTGGAACCTTTGCCGCTCAGCTTGTGCAATTTTAAATGTTCGGGGGTTTCAATGTGTTTTGCGCACACACACACATACGAAACAACTCTGCCAGTGCGAAATAACTTACTTGGACGATGCCTGCGCTGGGGATGGAACATTGGCTCGCCACCACATCGGCAGGCCGGGGCCATCCATCAGCGTGAAGTTCAGCTTTTCCGGATCATCCGGCTCGTGGAGGCGAATACCAAATCCCTGTGGGCAGCGAAGGCGACACTGGCGACCTGCGGGCGAATCGCGCCGCGCCAGTGATGAAGACACAAGCACATGCTTCGAATCTCTCCAAGCAGTTCAATCAAAGAGAGGGAAGCGACCACAGCCCACTACAGCCCTCAAGCTGTTTGCTGTTTGTTTGCAACAGCAAGTCCAAGGCGAACACTGAGCCCAGGGATTTGGTCCTCGGTAGGGTTACCGGGGCATAGAGTTTGGAGTTGAAGGTTTAGGGTGTAGAGTTTAGGGTCTAGGACCTATTTTAACATGCTGCAAAGCTGAACGAGAGAGAACTCTTCTTCCAATTATTATTCGGGTTTAACAGGATAATCCCGAAACGGGAGCCAAAACGGGACCACGGAGGACCGAGATGTACATATATCGCTTCTTAGTCCTTGTAACTTGCGTGAAGTGAAAGTACATCCCTCAGTAGTTATGTAGCCATAAACAGCTGTTCTACTTCATAGGTACCTATATTAAACGGTACCCACCCCCTTTAGTACCCTTACGAAACCCCGCGAACCGTCTTCGTTCGAATTATTGGAGCCTCCTGCGTTGAAGATGGGATCCGGACATCGGGCTTTGGATACGTGATCGAAGGGCTTTAAGGGTTTAGGGTTTATAGTAGAAGCCCCAAAAATGGAAACCCAATAGCCTCAATTCTCAAGAGTAATGACCACGGAATCCCAGCACTAATTGTCCTTACTCAGGTTTCCAACTTTTGGGGGTTTACGGTAGGGACTTCGGGATTTGGGAAATATTTCTAGGAGTTTAAGGGTAGAAGGTCCGGCCTTCGTCGAAGGACTTGCAAACTGGTGCCTGGGAGTAGGTCGCATCCCAGTCGATCTCACCTCAGCAATTGAAACGTAGCTAAGGGCCTCAGTATAGGGACGGTACCAGCAAGAATAGGGTGTGGGGGCTAAACCCTAAACCCTAAATCCTGAGGATTCCTAAGGTATATCGAGTACCGTTTTAAAGTCTGTCGGGACATCTTCAGATCCCTAACGTTTTGGACTCTTAGGGTTCAGGGTTCATCATCCCTTATTTCGGGAGTAGGGATCCTTACCGAAGCTCTGGGGTGAGACATAGGGAAGCAGTAACAGTATTCGCCTGTGGTCCCTGTGTAACCATGGTGTGAGATACCCAAAACCCTAGCCCAACACACTTATGTAGTTCGAACCTTACACCCTTTAAACCTGCAAATACCATACCCTTATACACCCTAACCCTAATTCCTAACCCTTAGCCCCTAAACCTTAAACCCGTACCTTGAAACCTTCAACCCCTAAACCAGTGAAACACTGCTACCCACCCTAAACCCTAAACCCCCAAACACGTTGCCTTTGAATGTGAAACCACTGAGCCCAAGCCCCCGGGCTGCACATTACAGCCGAGCAGGTGCAGGGCTGGGGGCGAAACCAACTTTTTTTTTTTTGGGGGGGGGGAGGGGGGGCTCTTGGGCATGCGATTTAGGGTCATAAGGGTTTTGCAGGGGTTTCCTGTGGGTGCTTTTGGGTTCAATATATACGGGCTCTTATGCGTACTGGGAAGAGGGTTTCGGTCACATTCTAGTATCAGCAAGTGGCGACATTAATATAAAGGGAGACCAACGCGTGAGAATTCTAAAGATCTCTTTTCTTTATTTGCTGACAAGCAACCCGAAAGGGTCCTCAGTGCCCATATCGTCGAATGTGGGGTGTTCTACATTAGGAAATACTCCCATGATTTGGGGAAGTATCCCCCATATCAGTACCTGGGACCCTGCGTGAATTACAGAGGCTAGCGAAGCCTTCGACTGTATTGTGGGAGCTCCCTGTTTAGAAGCGCGCCGGGCACCCAGAGAACTGAGCCCCCGTCCATTTGCATAGACGTTGGTGTAGCAATACCTGGCGGAAAGAAACCCCTAAACCCTAAACCCCTAAACCCGAAACCCCTAAACCCTAACCCCTAAACCCCTAAACCCTTAAATTCTAAACCTGTCAGGCTGGGGGTGCACACCCTATAGACCCTCAACCATTACCCTGAACCCTTAACTTCGAAACGGTCGCTTTTCATTTCTAGGCCCTGTGAGTCTATGGAAATTACGCCAAACTTAGATTTCCTCTGAACACCCTAGCGACAGTATAGGGGTCCTACTTAGCAGGGTAGGGGTTGTGGGGTGTACACCTAAAGAGGCTGTCAGATGATATCACTTCTATCCACGTTCTCGAAACTACGGCAGTCATGGAACTTCCGTAAATCAGTCCGCTCTGTTTCTTCTTGGGACTTGAAGTCATCTTGGGGAGGGGGGGGGGTTGCTTCGTGCCAGCCCAAATATCTGTGGCTCAGCACTGCACGCGACCTGAACCAAAAGCCTTTCACGGAAGTATCACAAACTAGAGAACCCACACATGGACTTGACATAAGCACCCCTAAGGGAGTGTAGCCGGTGGTGACTAAGCAGATCTCGGAAGCATTCCGAACAGCATGCCCTAACGGTACTCAAACTTTCAACCCTACTGTAAACCCGAAACCACCTGCAAACAAGGTGACATCCAAACATCGGCTTAGGTTTGCACCCAACTGAGAATTAGAAAGTCAAGGACCACAGTGTAGTCCCTAGATGAGGGAGGTTAGAGTCTACGCAGTAAATAACAACTATAAGGACCCGTAAAGCAATTACGGGGCCCGCAGTTTTGCGGTAACACCGAAATAGCGGCCCCCCACCATCCCACAAGCATCATCTCAAGTCCCTGCGCCAACATCCTCATTTCTGAGTCGGGCTTAGATTTTGGGATTTGAGGAATTTAGGCTTCCCACATCGAGATCGAACCAGAAAGTGGAAAGTCGATGCTGGGCAGCTTCGGCATATTGCCGCGTGTAATCAGCTGCAGGCTCCTCATCTGCCTCTGGCAGCTCGGCCGACGACAGGTCTCTCATGTCCACTGTGGGCCAGGAAGGCAAATTGTGCGTTTCCGCAGTATCCTCACACTCTTCCTTCGGAAGCCATGGCTGAAGCGACCACGTCACAGGTAGGCGGCGGGGCACGCGCGGCGTGGGCGTGTGGGTCATCGCTACGCTGAATACGGCGGACTTCCACGATCATTGGGGAGCTTCCCGCCTGACCCTCAAGTTCCCTGCCGCATCCTGTGTCAAGAGCCCTACTCTTCATGTTCGGCTCAGGACTTAGGTCAAGGAAGTGAACAATCTGCAAGGCCCAAATCCCGGATCTGGGGGATCATTCTATACTATATATACTGGCATTACAGTACACCCTCGGAGCCTAGTCGAATCTACTAACGCCTGTGCAGGACAGAGCAGGACATGCCGAGACACTCCATGTACTTAGTCTCAAAAAGGGTCTTTGAGGACGAATGGCTTCGCTCCCTCGACTAAGGCCGTCGCTGTTCCGGGCATTCGACGAAGTCTCCTGTGTCTGTGCCAGGACCTCGCTCGGGTTTAGGGTTTTTGTGCTTAGGGTTTTCGGGTTATAAGGGCCTTGGGTTCAGTTTAGGGTCTAGAGTCCAGGGTTTTAGCCCTACTTTAGGGCCTTTAGGGTTCATGCCTGAGGGTCTACGCACTTTTCGTCTTTGGGAGGCGGGAGTTCCGGGGCTTATTACAATGCAGAGCAGATCGGAGCTTCAGGGGTTCAGGGTGTTGTTTTTCTTGCTTTGCTCTGGGGTTCAGAATTTAGGGTTTAGGGTTTGTCTGTTTTTCTTTAGGGTTTCAGCATTTAGGATTTAGGGTTTATGGTCTTAAATCTTAGGGTTCGGGATTTACGGTTTAGTGTTTAGGGACATTTGGAGATGCACACGTCACATTCAGGAGACACCAACGGAACACACCATAACCCTATGTTTAACCCCTAGCAAATCCAAACCCTAAACCCTCCACATCCCCAGCAAAGCAAATCCTGTAAACTCCGGGTTAAACCAAAAATCTCCTTCGGACGTCAGATGCGTCAGAACTTCCGAGACCTGCGACTATGCCCAAATCCCACAGCCTTCGCCAGCACATGCTCACCCCCTGTATGATTGCAAGGCCGTATTTTGGTACGCGAGAAGTCTAAGTTACCATGGTAAGGAAATGACCGAATATTCTTCGCACTCCAATGACTCAAGTGCAACCAGGCAGGCCCACCGAGCTAGAGTCGAACCAAAAGCGACCCAACATGATGCAGTGGGCCCTGCACCCGGCTCGAGATTCCTTAACTTCAAATCCTCATGCAAAATCGGGTTTAGGGCGAAAACCTTAACCAACTGAACCCAGCCACA